AAAACACATTTTACAAATTTAGTAGTTTTTTTTTTTTTGGAGAAGGGGTGGCAGGGGGGGTGCCAAACCCAGGACCCGCCCCGGGTGCCACATGCCCTAGGTACGCCCCTGTCTGAAACCCAAAAACATTCCCAAAATTATCAATTAAGTGCTGTGGATTAGAAATGGTCATATGCACGGGGTTACACTCTATAGTTTTACAATATGGTGTAGTGGGCAACCTTTGGATAATCATATCTTGATCTACTGTTTTTCCCCAGGTCGCACAACCTACACATGACCAATATGAACAGAAGTTAAAGTCTCTATTTGGGCAATCAGGATCAGTAGATCTTTTGCTAGGGCATAAATACTTCACAGAGGTCCCTTTGACACACTCTGACTATGACAAGTAGGCAGGTGGTCAGGTTTTATGATGGCCGTCAAAACACCTACTTGATGATCTCTGTAGACTTGTAACTATAATGTCCCGATATCCCCTTGTACTTTTTCTCTTGACACGTTCAATCCAACTGGGTTATGCGCTTCAACTGGATCTTGCAAGGATTCTCAGGATCTGGAGTAGCTTGCCAGGAATCTGCTGCTGGTTTACCCCTAGAGTGATGGATCCAAGGAGTCACCTCTGCCACCTTTACAGCTGTTGGGGTAGATAAAAGAACAACTATTTGGGTAGGCGGGGACAATAGAGCAGGGGGTGTACAAATACCAGCTATACCAGTTTTAGCTTGGGAGGAAGAGTGGGGGAGCGGCTACTCTGGTCCTGAAGGATGAATAAGGGGGTTGGTAATTAGATGCGGGGGGGGGGGCTCCAAACTAGGTGGAATTAAGGCTTTAGTGGCAGGGCCAGATTAAGAGCCCAGTGGGCCTGGTGCTGACAATTACAGGATCTTAGCGACCAAAAACACTAAAACAATCACACCTCCCAAACGTCATGTATCTGATGGAGATGGTGTTGAAGGGAAACTCAAAGTATGCAGCTATACGAAAACACATACTATTTGCTAATCTCTCTCTAATTTATGCATTCATCTTTCAAGTAAATCCATACCCCCTAACAGCAGTGTCCAGTGAAGCAGAAAGTCAATGGGCAGGGTAAAAGGGTGGGCCACTGGCGCGAATCACGTGACCAGACTTGTCCAAAAAGGGGACATGTCTGTCCAAAGAATTGGAAGGCCAGCCTGGCATGAATTCATTACTACAAACCAGAATATAGGTTGCGCCAAAACTGTAATAAAACAGTAAAAACAATGCGTACTTACATAAAAGGAATAAAAAAGGAATAATGTCCTGATTAAAAGTGTAAGAGATAATAGTCCAAGTTTGATTGAAGAGATAAGTAGAATCAATAGACCTTGTAGAATCCAAGGAAGTCAGGTATCCAGATGATGTGGAAGCATGCAGATAGAAGAGAGAGATTCCAAAAGTGTGAAACTGTAATGGGAAGATAATAGTGGTCGTAATATCAGTCCTTCTTACTCACCTATTTCAGAGTTTTGGCCAGCTCAGGAGTGTGAAGCATTCAGTGGTGTTGATCCCCCACTGGTAGGATATAAGTGTTAGTAGATACAGGTCCTCGGTAAAAAAAGAGAAATAAAAACAAATAGTGCTCTCTGTATATGGCAATAACGGATAGGTATATAAAAGGTATAATACTCACATATAAGTGAGCAGGAATATACTGCTCACTATATTGGCGTAGGTGGTATAATCCCCACCTAGGATTCTTGAGTGAGTGAATAATCCAAAGTTTGCAATGGCCAGGTAAGAGTTAAATAAAATGTTAAAAAATAATTAAAATTATAATATATAAAAAAATATAGGAAATATAAAATAAAAGGTAAAAGCAATACATACAGATGGTGAATCACACTCCTAGAGATATCTAAAATAAAATAAAACGCAATATAGTGTAGTATTGTCAGCAAATGAATGTCCAAATAAATGTAGAGGAGATCAGGTACTAACAAACCAAGAGCCAAACATATACATGTGGCTCTCATGGGAACAGCACTGGGACCATTAATTAGGATGTCCCGATCCCAAGAAGGAAAGGGACATCCTAATTAATGGTCCCAGTGCTGTTCCCATGAGAGCCACATGTATATGTTTGGCTCTTGGTTTGTGAGTACCTGATCTCCTCTACATTTATTTGGACATTCATTTGCTGACAATACTACACTATATTGCTTTTTATTTTATTTTAGATATCTCTAGGAGTGTGATCCACCATCTGTATGTATTGCTTTTGTGTTTATATTTGAGTGGTATAAGGTGTTTCCCACTCAGGTGACATATCACACTCATATGGTCTTCACTGTATATATTGCACTTTCTATAAAATAAAGGTATATGGCACAAGCACAGTATTAGGGGCCAATATTCCTTTAATAATAGATAATAAAATACATTATCTATTATTAAAGGAATATTGACCCCTAATACTGTGCTTGTGCCATATACCTTAATTTTATATTTTTTATATATTATAATTTTAATTATTTTTTAACATTTGATTTAACTCTTACCTGGCCATTGCAAACTTTGGATTATTCACTCACTCAAGAATCCTAGGTGGGGATTATACCACCTACGCCAATATAGTGAGCAGTATATTCCTGCTCACTTATATGTGAGTATTATAGCTTGTATATACCTATACATTATTACTATATACATAGAACACTATTTGTTTTTATTTCTCTCTCTATACCGAGGACCTGTACCTACCAACACCTATATCCTACCAGTGGGGGATCAACGCCACTGAATGCTACACACTCCTGAGCTGGCCAAAGCTCTGAAATAGATGATTAAGAAGGACTGATATTACCACCACTGTCATCTCCCCATTACAGTTTCACACTATTGGAATTTCTCTCTTCTATCTGCATGCTTCCACATCATCTGGATACCTGACTTCCTCGGATCCTACAAGGTCTATTGATTCTACTTATCTCTTCAATCAAACTTGGACTATTATCTCTTACACTTTTTATCAGGACATTATTCCTTTTTTTATTCATTTTATGTAAGTACGCATTGTTTTTACTGTTTTATTACAGTTTTGGCGCAATCTATATTCTGGTTTGTACTATTGTATTTTCTGTTGATGTGTTTTGAGGGAACATCATACTCTTAGGTTGGAGCCCATCTCTTACTGATATTCAGCTGTCCACTGGTCTCATAGCGCTGATCCAACTACCATTCGTGGCATGAATTCATGTCAGTCTGCCTGCCAAGCATGCAGGCTGTCCAACTAAGGGCATACTATGCAGGCAGCACCCTGAGCTTAGCATAAATGATGCGCCTACTCCACACTTTCTAAGGACTGTCCCCTAGCACTCACATGTCCACTTGTCTCCTTACCGTCTTACTAGCAGACAGAAGCTCCTGGTATATAGTCTGGGACAGAGTAAAGGTGTATGTAGTGAGTAGAAGAAAGGGGACATGCCACAGTGCTGGAGAGACCAAAGTCTGCTTCACCTAAACTAATTTTGTCAGTCAGTCCACACAAGTTTTGTTCCCATACATCCCTCTTAAAGGGACACTCCAGGCACCCAGACCACTTCTGCCCATTGGAGTGGTCTGGGTGCCAACTCCCACTACTCTTAACCCTGCAACTGTAATTATTGCAGTTTTTTATAAACTTCAATAATTACATTGCAGGGTTAACTCCACCTCTAGTGGCTGTCTGCTAGACAGCCACTAGAGGGCACTTCCTGATTCATAGCAAAGATTTTCTTTGCTAGAGCGTCGCTAGACGTCCTCACGCTGTGTGAGGACCTCCAGCGTCGCTCAATTCCCCATTCCCAAAATCTTTTTCAATGATTTCCTATGGGGAGACCTAATGCGCTTGCGCATTAAGTTTCCACAGCTGGCTGGCGGCATCAGTTTCACCCACCGGCTGACGTGATTACTGGGAGGAGCGACACCAACCCGAAACCACCGCCGAGGGACATCGGCGGTGTCTCAGGTAAGTGACCTGAAGGGGTTTTCACCCTTTCAGCTACCTGGGATGGGAGGGAGAGGGTACCTGCAGTGCCAGGAAAACAGATTGTTTTCCTGGCACTGGAGTTTTCCTTTAAGCTTCCAAACTTAAAGGGACACTATAGTCACCAGAACGACTACAGATTATTGTATTTGTTCTGGTTAGTAGAATCATTCCCTCCAGACTTTTTGCAGTAAACACAGTCTTTTCAGAGTGTCTTTGTGTCCCAATGTTCCCATGTGTCTCAGCGTCCCCATGTGTCTGTGTCCCCAGGTCTCCCAGTGTCCCCTAGTGTCCCTGCTGCCTTTCCCCACATCCCTCACTTACCTGAGCTATAGAGCTGCTGTCTGGACTCTCTGTGCTGTGTAGCTGCTCCCCCCTGGATCAGTGAGTAGTAGAGAGAGACAGAGAGGGATATGCTGTAACTTCCTATTCCTGCCTCTCTCCACACACACACAGCAACCCCTACTGGCCGGTGCTGGTATTGCAGAGTAGTCTCTGTTTATACAGAGAAAAATACCTGCAATTGTATTGCCGGTATCAGGGTCGCCATCAGGGGGTGACAACCATAACGGACGCCCGGACCCCATGTGTAGCGGCGGAATTGCCGCCGGTGCACTTGCACCAGCGCCCGCACGCTGATGGGGCCCATCGGGTGGCGAATGCAGTTAGGGCCACCCGATGGGCCCTATATCTTCAGGGGTTTAGAAAGAGAGGAACACTGCCTAAAGAGTATATACTATGAAGATTAAAATATAACTTTTAATAGTGAATATAGGATAGAGTGATTATTTCACATATGTAATCCTGATCAGTCCAGATGTATACACACCAGGACACGAAGGGATAATGTGAGAAATAATAGAATTAAAAAACCAAAGAAACAGTATCTGAATCTCAGAAATGTGAGTAACGATGTTATCTCAATCAATGAAAGCTGTCTACTAATATAATGCTTTAACAACCTATCAGAACGAAAAGCAAGGAGGAGAACTGTCAACTCTGAAAATACTGCAACAACGTATCAAAAGTAGTTGTTACAGTTGACAGCACTGTCAACTGTAACAACTACTTTTGATACGTTGTTGCAGTATTTTCAGAGTTGACAGTTCTCCTCCTTGCTTTTCGTTCTGATAGGTTGTTAAAGCATTATATTAGTAGACAGCTTTCATTGATTGAGATAACATCGTTACTCACATTTCTGAGATTCAGATACTGTTTCTTTGGTTTTTTAATTCTATTATTTCTCACATTATCCCTTCGTGTCCTGGTGTGTATACATCTGGACCGATCAGGATTACATATGTGAAATAATCACTCTATCCTATATTCACTATTAAAAGTTATATTTTAATCTTCATAGTATATACTCTTTAGGCAGTGTTCCTCTCTTTCTAAACACATTTACATTTAGGGTTAACCCCTTCACTGCCTTGTTATTCTATTTTTTGACTCTGGGCTTTCATTCTGCTTTAATAAAATTTCTATATCTTCAGGGGTCCGGTCAGCACTGTGGCCGTGGTATAGCGCGACCGGGCCCCTTAAAAAAAAAAAAAAAAGCAAGTGCTACTGGGAGGAGGTGGTCACTTCCTCCCAGCTCACTCTGTGCGGGAGGAGTGCGTCCCCGGCAGTGAGGGAGAGCCAGCCGACTCCCAATTCCATCAGCTCCAGCCACCCTCCTGCAACGAAAAGGTAACAAACAGGAGGGTGGCTGGAAAATGAGCTGTGTGTGTGTATGTATTTCTATGTATTTCTGTCAGTGTGTCTGTCTTTATGCATGCATGTCTGTATGCATGCATGCATGTCTGTCTGTATGTCATTATGTATGTCTGTATGTATGTATGTCATTATGAATGTATGTCTGTATGTCTGTCAGTATGTATGTTATTATGTATGTCATTATGAATGTATGTCTGTATGTATGCATGTATCAATGTATGTCATTATGTATGTCTCAGTATGTCTGTCAGTATGTATGTATGCCAGTATCTATGTATATATGAATGTATGTCTATATGTCATTAGGTATTTGTGTATATGTATGTCAGTATGAATGTATGTCTGCATATCATTATGAACGTATGTCTGTGTGTATGTATGTCTGTATAAATGCATGTATGAATGTACGTATGTATGCCATTATGAATGTATGTATGTATGCCATTATGAATGTATGTCTGTGTATGTCCGTATGCCATTATGAATGTATGTGTGTATTGATGTCAGTGTATGTCTGTCTGTATGTGTGTGTGTGTATGTATGTCGGTGTCTGTATGTATGTATGTGTCTTTATGTCCTCATGCATGTATGTCTGTATGTATGTTAGTATGTGTCTGTCTGTCACTATGTATCTGTGTCCTTTTGTATCAGTGTGTGTTTGTGTCTGTGTGTGTATTCCTGTGGGCGGTATTTGGAGGCGGGCCCCAGGGGGCCCAGACCCTTAGCTGAGTTAGGGGCCCCAAAATTTCTGGTGGCGGCCCTGTCCGGTATTACTGCAATATCGGCATGGCCAGGCAGCCTCAAATACCATCTGTGCCAGAAAAAATACCAGTCATGTGGCAAATCTAAGAGTAGTGTATAAAAAAAAAATATATATATATATATATTTTTTTTTTTTAAATGGGCCTGGAGATGCAGCTCCATCTTAATCCGCAGCTCCTATCTTAATCCGGCCCTGCTTAGTGGACCAACTACCATGTGGCTCTATTGTTCCTTATGGTATATCTTGATCCAATTAGGCTCTCTCTCAACAATCTGCTTCCAACCATCAACACACAGAAACCAATCATAGAATTCCGGCCTACTAGTTACAGCCACATGTACACGCTGCACTAAATTTAGGTCAAGACTGCCACATGGAGGCCATGTGGCCACCAAGACAGCCCATTCCCTACTACACAGTGTAGTCAAAGTTTTGGGGATAGCTTTACACCATAATCGCAAGCAGTATATCCCTTGGAAAAGTTCTTTAACATACAGAAGAAAGAAAGTAGTAATACCAGATACACTGACTCAGGGGTCCCTAATTTGGCCCGTGGGTCTGTGTTTGCCCTAAAGCTATTCTTCCTAACGGGGAGTAACCCACAACATGTAATTGAAAAGAAAAGGAAAAAGTGAGACCGTAAGGTCCTAGACGAAAGAATAGTGCAACAAGGAAAGGGAGCCCTACCTTTATTAATCCTAATGATGGGAGCAATATTAAAAATGGACAGAAAAGTAAGGGAGGCCTTAGAGTAGGTAGTGGTTTCTCAACACACATTCAAATCCTAATTACTAACCTACTATTGAATAATGCACTAACAGATAAACTCATTACTAAACACGAGTTTCATTTCATGCTGATTAAACAACCAGTACTTTCAGCATTTTATAGTTTACCTAAGGTTCATAAATCCCTAAATAATCCATCAGGTAGACCAATTGTGTCGGGTTGCGGTAACCTTACCCAAAATCTAAGTATTTATTTAGATAACATTCTATCCCCCATTGTGTCCAAATTACCATCATATATAATGGATACTAAACAAATGTTGAATTTTTGAGGGACCTATCCATACCAGAGCAAGCACTTCTGTGTAGTCTCGATGTGGAATCACTCTATAGCTCTATACCACATCTAAAAGGTATTGACAACATCAGGACCATTTTGGAAAAAGAGCTACAGTCCCCAGGAGCATACATTGACTTTGTCTCTAATATACTTCGAATGGTACTCACCAAAAATATCTTCCTATTTAACGGTACTATTTACCAACAAATAAGGGGGACAGCCATGGGTACGTCGTGTGCCCCCTACTATGCCAACCTTTATCTTGGCACTTGGGAGAATCAAATTTTTAATGAGCCTGATTTAAGGAAATACACAGAGCTGGTATCATGTTGGAAAAGGTACATCGACGATGTACTAATCATCTGGCTAGGATCTAAACAGGATTTTAAGGATTTTGTTAAGCTCCTCAATACGAATGATCTCAATCTGAGATTTACCAGTGAGGTTGGTGGCAAACAACTTAACTTCTTGGACTTAACCATTACAATTAAAGAAGAGTGTACCATAACAACTACCCTCTTCAAGAAAAAAACAGCTACTAATGGTCTCCTGAATTGGGCCAGTTACCACCCACAATCATTGAAGGCTGGTATCCCAATAGGCCAATACTTGAATACCAATCAAAGTTGACCTCTTTTTACGGAGGAATGTGTGTAACAAGGTGCTTTACAAAGTGCAAGTGATTTTCAGGCTGCTCTATACACTTGTGTGGAAATATCCTCTATCCCACTTGACAAAATAGTAGATTTAAATACGGTGTAAGTAACAGAGACCTACACCTATAAGTGGAGCGCTCAAACTTATATATTGCTTACCAAGCGTTGTTTCATATCATGGTACATGTAAAAGAATACAGAAGAATACAATATAGTGCAGATGGTATATACAAAGTGACAGTGCAATAATAGTAGTGTAATCTTAATGGCTGGTACACTCACATTCCAAGGAGCCTGTATATGGAAACACTGGCTCCGTATCAAAGTTTGTGTGCTTATAATGGTATCACCACCCTTCTACTTTGGTGTGGAGTAATTCTCAAAAACAAAAACAGAGGGAAAGCGTACCAATGTGTAGATATTGTTCATGAAAGCACCCATATAAATATATATAAATGTGGTGCTCACCTGGTCCTGAGCCTATGGATCCTGGCTCTAGGTATATGAACTCTGTGCCGATTTGAATGGGGATGGCACTGCCCCAATGCAGATTCTTTTGGAGGCTCCAAAAAAGGGCTTGAAAAGACTTAAAAGTAAAATAACAAATTTATTATGTGTAAAAAAGTATAAAAACAATGGATATAAAAAGTCCTCAGTAAAAGTCCTTTTAAAAATAGCCAAAACGCGTTTCACTCTTGAATAGAGCTTCCTCAGTCAGCTGTAGTGTGGGTCCTCCAAATCTTCCATTTTTTAAATACCTTCTGGGTCTTCACCTTTAATGGGCTGGATATATTTAGTCCAATCACAGTTTAATTAACATATACCAAATATAAACAAATATGTATGTGTTTCTTTAATTGGTGGTGGGCTGTGGGTGCCTTTTTTAACTCCTATTTTCATTGGTGGCGTGTGGCGCCTATGTTTTCTAATATTCCCATTGGTGGGCAGTGGTGGTTGGCGGAAGTGTTCCGCGGGTTCCTCAGTGGTTGGCGGAAGTGCCTACACGTGATTGGCACGCCGCGGTTGGCGGAAGTGACGTCCGGGCGGTTGGTGGAAGTGACGTCACGAACGTACGTGACGCGACTCGGCCGCCGCCCGGGTTGCCTCTAGCTCCCCAGCCATGCCACACCTCTCCTATGCGTGCAGGCTGGGGGGCGGGGCTTGCGAATTTATTGCAAAGGACTCTAAGGAGTTTACAGATAGCAATAATATTGACACGTTTCCGGTTCGATCATTTTTTAATTGTAGAACTGAAGGAGTGATTTATCTACTTACCTGTTCATGTGGCATGAAATATGTGGGGAAAACCTTCAGACCCTTAAAATTGAGAATCAGGGAACATGTCAATTCAGTCAGGAGACCTTTAGAAACTCTGATATCCCGTCATTTGAAAATACACCATTCCAATTCATCGAAAAAGATTAGATTTGTGGGACTTGAACATATCCCACAGACTCAAAGAAAAGGTGACTGGGACGTAAAGCTGAGACAACGGGAATCCTACTGGATTTACAGACTTAAGACCCTCTCACCTGCAGGACTGAATGAGGGTTTTTCATTTGCCGCTTTTTTGTAGTTGTTCACTATTTTTGATGTGTGTTATATAACAAGGAGTATCCTACTTCTGTCCGTCTATATGGATAGTAGGAGAAATTGTATATAGTTACATTTTATTAATATCATCCTGTATGTAGCTTTCCTAATTGGCAGCTGCCTATAGTAATTACTGCATTTAGATCAAACAAAGGTTCTCTTTACTTTATTGTATTTTGAGTAATCTTACCCATTTATAAGTCCCTATTACCTCTTCTCTTTCATATTACAGACAGGCATGTCATTGCCGTATATCACAACCTAATATAAATTCGATTTTGGCCTTTTTGGCCCACCTAAATAACTCCTGTATATGTTAATCTTTAGGTAGTAGGGACCTATTGTGATAATAACAGTAGGGGTTAAGTGTTACATTATCTAGCCACTGAGATTCCTTTATGTCAGCTTTATATTATAACTTAACGATTAAACACCCTTTATGGTTGATGTAGTGTCCGGAGGGTGTGTCTTTTTGTCTCTCCCTCCTCTTTTTATATGACACTATTCTCCTTCTTAGGCGTCACCTTTCAGGTGTCTTTGGAGAATTAAATAAACGATATCGTTATGTTCCTTTTTGGGACCAGCTCGGTGGGTGGTAACGTGATTTCGTCATTGGTTGACGTCACGTTGCCACTCCCACCCTATGCGTCTGGTCTCCCCACGTGTGCTCACTCCGATTGGCCAATTGGCCTGTGACGTTTGGTCACGTGATCGGACCCGTGACCAATCGGGAGGTAGCCAATTTGGCTTGACACATCCACGTGGACATACAGCTACATGGCTACAGTACAGGTTCATTGCTCCTGACGACGGCATGCTAATATGCCGAAACGCGCGTCGAGCTAATTTTATTTATTTTTCTCTTTTCTTACTACTCACTTGGTAGCACAGGAATATGAATTTCTATTTAGGCTAATTTAATGTATACTAGTTTATTGGACAGGCAGGGAGCGGTCTGCAGGTAGGCATCTGTATGCAATATTACAGTGCCGAGGTATATGGATCTCTATTTAGGTTAATTTATGTACACTTGGATAGGCAGGGAGAGGTATACAGGTAGGCATCTGTGTGTTATATCACAGTGCCGAGGTATATGTTTATTTCTTACTCTTTCCTCTCTATAGTGACTTAGAATTGGGTCTGGGTTTTTGGGAGTTTCCCTTACATCTCCCCCTTCAGGTTAAGTACATGGGTTCATTCCCTAATTAGCCCAACAGTGATTTTTTCTTTTTACAACCTGTTTTTTCAATTTTCTAGACTCTACCTATGCCACCTAGGCTTGCATGGATTTTTTGATATAGCCTGGCCTTTTTTTGAGTAGGTTAGGAATTAGGATTTGAATGTGTGTTGAGAAACCACTACCTCCTCTAAGGAGGTAGTGTCCATTTTTAATATTGCTCCCATCATTAGGATTAATAAATGTAGGGCTCCTTTTCCTTGTTGCACTATTCTTTCGTCTAGGACCTTACGGTCTCACTTTTTCCTTTGCTTTTCTTTAACATACAGGACAAGGGATCAACGATCTTTGAATCAGACGCACCCATACTGTCAATGGAGTATCTGATTCAAGCACACAACAAGTATTCAAACACACTTCCAACGGTCACACCCGTTTCCTTAGCAACAGCACCACATGGCACAGTTACTAGGCCAAAACACACGCGCACAGGATCCTCACACACTCAACAATATCATGATGTCGCACACATAAGTAAAATCAAAAAGTCTCACCAAACACTATATACTCATCAATGTAACTATTATTTAAACCATACAATTATCCACACTATTAATCCACATATACTAACCGATCACATAACATTTCAACAGTTTCGTCTTTGAGTGGTTATGGTACGGTTAGCAAATATTACACAGTTTAAACAATCATGGTTTTAAAGTTACAAGGTCAGTTAGTAGTAGTTAAAGTGTTACACATACAACGTTAAACCGTATTTTTCACACTATCAGTAGTTATGGTACCTGTCAGTGGTTATGGTACCGTGCACTATTTTACACTATACACCACAATCTATACGTCCGCTAAATGGCAGCGCTCAAGCTTTCTATCAGGACATACATTTTCACCAATTCCAACGTATTTTACAATCTTTACAACAAACCCAACTATTCGAACTAGCCAGCACCTCGAGGTCTAGTGAACGAAATGTACACCAGGATTCACTAGCCTACGCTGCCTAGGCACCACGATCTAGTGGACGGAATTTACACCAGGATCCACTAGTCTATATATTCTATCTATGGTCTAGTGGCGGAATTTACAACATGACACACTTAGCCAAGATAGTGTGAGAGCTAGCAGACGAAATATATACCAGGATCTGCTTAGTCTCGACGGTATCACCTGATCTCAGGACTGAATTTACAACAAGATTCCTCTTAGTCAAGCCAGGATACCGGTGTCCGGCTGAACATATATACACCAGAATTTAGCCTGACTAAAATCCTCCTATATTAAATGGCTACAGAGCATTTAATTTCCAATAAGTGGTGTGCCTTTGCTTCATCCCTTTTTAGGAAGGGGGCAGTCAGATTAACTGTTACAGATACAAATTCAACCCCTTGTGGGTTCACAGTCTAACAGTCTTACCTTTAAGTTCCTGGACCTGGGTTCACACTCATCGACGGGACACGCTGGTACTCACTGCGTAGAAGACGATGATCTCTTGGACAAAAGGCCAGTGGCGCCGAGACGAAAGGAGGTCCACGCATTAGAAGTCCAGGGGTGCAGTCATGGAAGAGTTGGTAAAAATTTACAGTCTCAAATCTCTGCGCAGGCTTCCATGCTCCGTGCGATAAGATTCCCGGCCCAATAGCACCAGAAATGTTAACGGAAAACACAGCAGAAGCCACACATAGAGAGATGGACACAAGTCTATTCAGGAAGTAACAGGTCTTTTATTTACACACCGATCAGGTCTCAGATTAACTCCTGTTTCAAAAATATCTGAGAGACAGAAAGCATGGTGCAGAGGCTTTTTGTTAGAAGCATATCTCCTCCCACACATTATAACCCCTCCTATAGTCCTCAGACTATTCAGAATCACCTTATATGGGCAGACCACATGGCTTGTAAAAGGCAAAGGAATTTGCTTTCCCCTTACGTACATGCTCAGTACACTGATGATTCATCCAACTATTTGTAACCAGATACTAATTAGCATATGCCATGTGGAGATTTCGGCCTACAAATGCTTGAATCCCATCACAGTATCTCACAAAAGTGACCACACCCCTCACATTTTTGTAAACATTTTATTATATATTTTCATGTGACAAGGTGTTAAGTTACAAAACTAATTAATACATTGGGCAGAAAATCTCAAAATTTAAAGTGAAACTTTTGTGATAGGTTATAATTAACATAAATCATCCCCAAATGCATTATATACATACTACTAGAGAGCCACAGGTGGTGCTTCCTTGATGTTAACAGACTTTTGGTCCTCTCACGCTGGATGTTCTCACGCTCTGCATGAGGACATCCAGCGGCAGCTATTTCTCCATTTCCCTAAAATCAATGCTTTCCTATGGGGAGGGCCTAATGCACGTGGCACTGCTTGGCGACTTTAATTGCTTGTCTCACCTCTTCCTCTGATATGGGGGAGTCTAGTTGCTCAGCCTAAGCCTTGGTAAGGTCAGGAGGGGGAAAGTCCGATAAGTATTTTTCACGGGTTCGTGAGTCTATTGCTGTTATTCCTTCAATCCTCCAATAGTCCTAATTATAGATGTGCTGAATATAGTTAAAGTATTCCCTTTGTGTAGAGTTTCCCCAATATAATGGACGCAACCAGTCGTATTGGGTAAAAGCAGCAATCTGAACTTTATTAGGCCACACTCTGCTTCTTATGCAGTTTCTAATACAAAATCACAAGGGTTTCCTTCCCACAAGCCATTGTGTTTGAGAGATAATTGAGCTCCAATTAAGCTAATCCAATTATCTCTCAAATTTGAAAATTTACATACAATTTTTACATATCACAAGAATATATGACAACAGCATCGGAACCCCACAAAAATTATATTCCCGAATAGCCCCAATTTGAGCGCACAACATATCCAAAAAGCGCTCAGATTGGTTTGGTGAAAGAAAGTTATGTTCGTGCATATTTGAACTGGCTGCCTGGTAGAGGTGGTATTGTCAATTTCAAAATGGGTTAATTTGATTGTATGTGAGGTCAGAGCTTACAACCTAAATTCCTTTTTGAAGCTGGGATCCTGGCAGAGCTACTCTGTAAAGTGTAAGAAGTCACACATAAGTGGACTAGAAGTCTGGGACATAATTGGGTCAAGACATGATAACTTAATTTCCTGCTGGACACTAAGACACATAGCACAAAATCTTTTACATAATACAATTAACCCAATAGCTTTCATCCAGCTCAACATTTTACATAATAACTCAACATTAACACAATGTACCCCCACATCCTATATATCATTTAAAAGTCTATGACCAGGCCTATAGTCTGTGGGTAGGAGGCTAGCTGTTATGCCTCTCCAGCAGGCTGTGGCACGGGAGCTTCTGTGACAGAATTGTTGAATCCAACTGTGTTTATCAATAAGGGTGTTATTGGCACAATCACTACGGAGATTATAGAGTAAGGAGTGGACATGCTCCAATCCCTTCGCAATATCAGAAGGAAACTGTGATGTACTACCAGATCGCATTTTAAGTTTGTGTATTTGGGTGTAGATTTGTTGTCCTCTCAGCACGTAGTATTTTCTCCAAAATAGGTCGTAAGCGCCTGGTTAACCTGGTCCTGTATAGGTAGCTCTATCAATAAGGAATAATTAAGTCTCCACTAACAGCAGTTCGGTTTATGAAGTGGAGAATTTATCAAAATCCGGATGGGGCTATGATCCCACCACGTAGATGCGTCAATATCAGCCGTTTGTAAACTGTTAAGTCCCTCTTGTTAGATGAAAATGTAGTCTGAACGAGAATATCTACCATGGATCGTAGAGAGAGTAATCCTTATCCGTAAGATGTAAGGTCCTCCAGCAGTCAACCAAGCATAAACTATGCTTTATGAATTCCAAGGATTGCGGTTTGGGGTATACTGCTGGGATGTTGAAATCCCCTCCCAGGATAAGGATGCCCTCAGTAAATGCTGAGAATTTGGCAAGCGTGCGGCGTATGTAAAGGGATGATTGTGGTTCGGGGCATATATGGTTGCTTTTGTGCAATGTCTGCCAGATACCTCTCCCTTTAGGAAGAGATATCTTCCTTCTGGGTCTACCTGTCTTTTAAGTTTGGTGAATCCCAGTGAGGCCCCCAGTAGGATAGCTAACCCAGCTTTCCAGGCTGCAGGGTGATTACTGAACCAGTTATTCGGTTAGTGTTTACTTTTCAAGGCAGGGGCTGCATTTCCCATGAAACTGGTTTCCTTCAGGAAGGCTATGGATATTTGTTTGCAACAAAGTTCTCTAAGCACTTCCTGTTCTGGGATATTAAGTGGGTTAGAATCGTGATTAGGTCCGGGCGGCAATCTTGGTTCCGGAGGAGGGCTACCACCCAGGAGTGCACCCCAAGAGGAGAGGAAGTATTCACATGAAGTCCCCCTCCCCCCCAATCCGGCTCAATACAATACAGTACAAGAGCATTGCGTCCAGGTCCCCTTAAGACCCAGATCTGTGATGCAAAAACAACCCACCCAAAAACAACCCACCCACCCCCATATCCTCCTCCCAAAGCCATGCGATAGAGCGAGCAACCCAGAGCAAAAGCAAAATTAGGAAATTAAAAATAAAGTCCGGAGCTGTCTCGCAGTACCTGCCCAAAAGGCTGTGCAATGGGGGCAAGATGTGGCAAGAAAGCCCACCCATACCAACACCCCTGGTTTCTCACAAGGACTATATCCAGGCCCATATCACCACTTCCTCACGTCACTACCACTCCAGAGATCCCAGTACATGTGTCTTTTCCGCTAGGGACTCTAGAAGTATTCTGCATTCTGCAGTCGCCACATCACTCAGCAGCAGGCTTGATGATAGGCCCAAGAGAGCCCTCATTTCTCAGCAACATGAGGTCTTTGGAATGCAGAAGTGGACAAAGGGGAGTCGGGAGGGGTTAGGGAACCCTGGCCTTCATTCCTCTTGAAGGGTCACGTAATTCAGCCTCCTGGCATCCAATGGCATTTGCGAGAGATCCTTTTCGGGGGCCACCTCAGCACCCTGAAAGCTCCACGTTTGTCGTGATCGGACCTTGTGCATAATCTCTTCCTTCACTTGGAAGGAGTGCAGGAAGCATATAAGGTCACGGGGAGGTCCATCTGACAATCCTGGCCTAGCCGCGCTGTGTGCACACTCAAAGCGTATATTTGGATATTCTTCTCGTGGAATAGGGAGGACAGAACCTCTTCAGCATATTCCGAGTCCTGGGATTCATGCACTCCATGGACCCTGATGTTACACCTGTAGCTTCCATTATCTATCTCCTGCATTTGTCGGTAGGAGCATGGTGCCTTGCCTAGTGATGGCCGTAGTGTTGGCCCATGCGCCTGTCTCCAGTTCTTGTGAGCGGGTCTCCAGGGTGAGTATCCTGCTCTCATGCTATGTGTTACGCTACTTGGGTGATTTGGATTGGAACTCAACTGCAGCTTGTAAACCTCCCTAATTACATTAGTGAAGATACGGAGAAACTTTAAAGTATCAATACTGTAGCTTTAAGAAAAGAGGGAATCGCTGGTAACTTGATTCAAACTAGGTTTTAATAAGTGTTAAACTTAAATGAATTGCATTTAAGCAATAATCCAATAAGAAATGCAAGTAATCAACAACACAAACTTCATTATTAAGTATTTCTTCAGAGATGCATTAAGTAACATTCTTTAAGTTCATGAGAATAATCTTCAATAGGAACAATAGGCAAGTAGCTAAGAATATTTGCAGAGCAAGAACAGTTCATAGTGAATAAGCATGATGGGAGTTGTCCTCCATATAATTAGTAGCTTGAAGCAGTGAGTGTATTTTCAAAGCAAGAAACGGTTCATAGTGAATAAACATGATGGGAGTTGTCCTCCGTATAATTAGTAGCTTGAAGCAGTGAGTGTATTTGCAAAGCAAGAAACAGTTCATAGTGAATAAACATGATGGGAGTTGTCCTCCATATAATTAGTAGCTTGAAGCAGTGAGTGTATTTGCAAAGCAAGAAACAGTTCTTAGTGAATAAGCATGATGGGAGTTGTCCTCCATATAATTAGTAGTTTGAAGCAATGAAGATTTGAGTAAGTAAGCCTTAGTTCATCAATAAATGATATTGTAGACAAATAGCTGAAAGATATACTTAAGGTTAATATGTGTAGTCCTCCAATAGTTCAGAGATATGGTCTGTGGTAAATTACCAAACTCTATAAATTATTATGTACGCATACACATATAAACTCTGGTCCGTCTACTTTAACAAATATTTATTCAGAGACAAAACAACAGCAACATACAAATAATGACACACAATCTAACTAACTATACCAACAGCAACAACAACCTAACTAACAATAACAACTACATCTTATAAAATCACCAGATCCCACTCACAGTTCACCATGATAGAAATTAGGCCATGTCTGCTTAAAGGACTGCTCAGTAGCACAGCCAAGAAGGAACAGAAGGAATGGAGATAGGGGGAAGTGGTTACCTCTTTCCTGAAAGGTATTGAATTACTCAATTTCCATATCAAAAGGTAAAGCTTATCCCACTGTAAGAGCTTGGTCACATGATCCCTGGTCACCATATTAGTTTGATGACAGAATGTCACCACATGGTCCACTTGTAAAGTAGCAAAGTATCCGTTCTCCAGTAATTCTTTATGGCATGCAGCAATCCTTGCATTGCTTAAAGGCTGGAACGGCTTGTCTGAGCTTGTGGAAAGGTAAGTCTGGTGGAAGTAGCTCCCAGTAGCTGAGCCTGGGAGCCCGTGGTCTCGCGGAGGCAGCTCACACACAATCACCAAGCACCCTCTCTCTGGCCCAGTCTCCCTAAATACCGTCAGAGCTGGGTCAGAGGGGGGCGGGGTCCGGCTCCTCACAGCTGAGTGCCGAACCCTGAAGTGTTACTCCATGACACTAAGTTACTTTGGGCTTTAGGGCAGAGTCTTCCGTGCGTATTGCCTCGCGAGGGTTGCCAGGTCTTGCTAGGTGACCATTGTTGCCGCGATGGCGCAGGGATCCGTGCTTCTGTCTGCCAGGGTGGTAGTTTCGGCCATGGAGAGGGGGGACGAGGGAGGCGATGCCATCTTGGGGCCTTGATCCCCATGCAAGGTCCTGGCCTGGCTCGACACAAAATCGTAAAATAGGCACTCTGCTGGGTGCCCCTCTGTGTCTGGGGTATATCTGGCCTTCAAGGTCAACCCATTTGGGCTGCTAGTTAATAGTTTTGTATGCTGAAAGATGCTGTGTGGTGTGGAGCATGAAGTTCAAGCGGCCATCTTGATCAGAGCCCAAAAATATGGCTTGGTACTTCAATGAAGTAGACCCTAGTAAAACAATAAGGGGGGGGGACCTACTGTCCTCC